AGCAAAAAAAAATTGATGATAAGAAAAATATCTTCTTTTACACTAGCTCTATTTTATTTGAATCGACGTTTGCTGCTCAATAAATTTCATTTATCTTCTCATTGAGAAGTTCTCAACACCTAAGTTGGTTTTGATCTCGGCCTGTCATATAACGTTGATTGCAATACCATCGCCGTGCTTGATCGAGTGGCCTGTAAGTGTTTGATCTAAAAGTCCCATTGAGCATATCAATGGCCAAATAACAAGCGAGAGCATGTAAAAGATATATTCTATTTTGGTCGATTTCGAAGAATGAAAAAAAAACTGGTTTAGCATTTCAGCTGTTTCTTGGCCGAACACCGCAAGCATAAGCGAAACGAAAACGGGTTAGTCAATAATCTTTATGAACCAGAATAATAAAATGGAGCGAGAAAAAAAGCGTTGCACAATCTATTCTAGAAAAATAAAACCAAGCTATTTTTTTTGCTGTCGTGGTGTTTATAGTCGTCTCGACACCAAGATCACTTCAATTTTCATACCTATTGTTATTGCTTTTCAGTTCAATATGTTTTGCATTCAATTCATTTGTCTCATATTTTTTAGTGCTATTCCAACGCCGGTATGCATATCATTTTTCTTTTTTCATTATGCAATTATTTATTCGCATTTTTTTTTGCTTTAAATTTATTCGCATTTTCGCCAGCAATGAGTCGAAACAACAAATATTAGATTAGTAATAGTATTCTTGTGTGTAAAACATTAAAAGATTGGCCATCACCATGAAAATTCAGTTCCAAGAAATATGGTGCCAGAACTGACGCTACTGCAACCAATCTTATCTTGCATCAACTATTTTATATTATTTATTTTAAATGAAAATATTCAAACGCAAAAAAAAAAAAACAACCAGAAAACCACTTTACGTCGTATATAAAGCAATAAAAGTGTTCGTAAACAATTTTTGTTGGCATTAATGCTCGGCTCAAACCGTTTTTATTGAACTATCGTTTCTCATAAATCATACCAAATATGAATGAGCTAGAATATAGTAAAAATTCGACTTGAAATAAAAATCTTTAAATGTGGAAGTTCCAGTGTTCCATTTTTATCATTTTCCATTTCTAGTCGGGTTTTTATTCTAAGCCAATCATATATGCAATATTTTTTAAATCGGACCCCTGGTCAGAAACTAACATTTTGTCGTAATCTCCTGAAACGAATGAAGAAATGACTGGACTGTAAATGGCTTGTTCCAACACCATCTACAATAATATCCGAAAACCAAATTGATGTGAAATGATCTTCAGTCAGTTCCGAATAACTTGAGTATTCGAAATATTGTTTTTAATTAGCGGCAATGTTAAATTTTGAAAATAATGGATTTCTTGTTTCATTCATTATTATTACAAGTTTACTTTAAAAAGAAAGATAACTAAAATAAGTAGATGCGTGATCTTTCCGAAGGAGTTAAGAAAGTTTTGAAATACTCATTTGAATAGTGCTTGAAGTGTGATACCGATTTTGAAAATTAAAAAAAATCTATAAATAATATTAATTGAAGTGGTTGGTTGATCCTTTTTTGCCATTTTAGCTCTTATGTATTGATGAGTTATGCTGCTTGTGTATATATTTATAACCCAATATATCGATGGTAAATTAGCAAGCACAGTTGTGCACGAAAAAATAAACTATCACTAAGAGGGCACGCTTTTTTACGGTTTTAATGTTATTATTCACAGACACATTTACAGTAGCCATTTACAATGCATGTGGCAGAAACATAGTCGGCCGATCATTAGAAAATAAATGTTGTCTCTTTTTTTGTTGGTCGTTGCAAAACACAAACTGCTTTATTCAACTGCATCAAATAGTCTATGCCTTTTACTTGACTTGTCTCCGTATATTGGCTTAAGTATCAAATTAAATTTTATTAAAAATGACTCTGTGTGGGATTTTACGTTTAGCATTGCCTTGTATACTCATAAATTATGCGCAGCGCATGCACAAGCACATTTGCAACACGCATTTCCAAAGTGTCGACAATGTTCTGGATAAAATACAACACACATAATACAGAAACTTTTGATTACCACCGCAAACTTATTCTTTTGCTTTTTGTTGAACATTAGAGTAGATTAAAAAGCCTATAGTTCCTAAATTATTCGACTAACTCAAATAATAATTCATTCAGTTATATATTCGCAGCGATTTTCTCTGAAATTCAAAACTACCACGCAATATACTTTCTGGAAAAAAATACATTAAATTTTCGAAAAGAATCATAACGTTCTTATCGTAAATACAAATTGAATACTGTTGTACTGATTATTTCTCATGTTTTTTTCTCTCTCTTGAGATTTCGAAAGTAGTAACTTCAAACTTATGGTGGGCGTATAGCCATAGATTCTGGAGTTGACGATTTAAGGGGGGGGTAATTTGAGAAAATCTGAAGGGGGGTAATTTTGAAAGTCCATTCTATCCAGTGTAAATTTGCTTTCGGAAAAAAAGTTGAGACCGAAAAAAAATTTGAAATTTTTATTATGACATATTCCAGTAATCACTAATATTATTACATTATTTTATTAAAATTAAAGATACAAGTTTTTTTTCATTTCCACTTCATTAATATGTAATTAATTTGATGATTTCACAAAAATGATGGTTTCGGCAAGAATTTTTTTGCCTTATCCTCGACTTCTGTCAAAGATACAGCTTTGTTTCGGCGACCTTTCGGGTCATCCGTTCGATAATGCTTTTGTTTTATAAATTCATTTGCGTACTTGCTTGCAGCGAACTTTTCTATTTCATTCACACTATTTATTCTAATGCGCATTATATCTTTTTTTCGTCTATTTGAAGTTGTTACACACTTCGACTCGAGGTGAGTTCGCAATGAATTTAAATTCTTTGGAGTAATCATATCAATCGCCGATAATAATTTGATTCGAAAATGCAGATGTGCAAAAACTGAGACATAAACAATATAGTTGATCGAACTTAATCAATTAAATAATCAAACAGTTGACCGGACTTAATTGTTTTGTCTACGGCGAATAAATAAATTTTGTTTAGTCGGACATTCGAATATGAAAATTGAATTTTTGAAAAACCTCAGCAAATCGGAATAATTTTTGCTCGAAAATAAAAATGGGAGTGGGTACTTTCAAAATCACAGAGGGGGTAAATTCGTTGCTCAGGGGGGGGTATTTTGTACCCTGGACCCCCTGGTCAGAATCTATGCGTATAGCGTATTCATTCGATTATTAAATGGAAACATTCACACTATTTTGGAATTAAAACCGTTTTTTGTGCGATTTAAAATCATAATACATCAAACACATTTATTCATTCATCAATCAAGCAAGAAAAGAAAAACCGACAAAGGTACACTTATTGCAAAATCTATCAAGGTCGCGTTGCCCACAATTTTGGAGTAGCTTGTCTTATTGTTGAATGGTCTATTTGATTACCGCATACGATATGAAGGCAAATGAAAAGCCAGTGTTAATATTGCACCACTTATAAAATTAAATGTTTGCAAGCATTGTCAATATTTGGTTTGTGTAGTTCTTTATAATTAACGCTGCTATTGATCAGATCGAACCGCAAATATTTACACCGTTTTAACAGTAATCAGTTGGCGCGTTTTTGGCCAATAATTGATATGGCAATTTGCCTTCTAATCTGCATGCGATCTACAGTCGTTTCGCCATGTAGAAATGTGTTGTAAGCGCTTTATTTTCAATTTAAATGCAGAACATTTCAAATTACAGAGAAACGAATTGCACTTAATTACTAACTAAAATACTAAACGAAATACTGTTTCAAAAAGAAAAAATCATCGGCAAAAACATGAAATTAAGATTCTTCATAGGATTTATAAAGCATATGTTTTCTACGTCCAATTCAAGTCGGTCATAATACAAAGCAATTTCTATTGACGTTGGCAAAACTAAAAAAATAAAAATAAACAGCATTCCTTTTGAAAAAAAAAAAAAAAAATTCGCTTCTTTGTATCTTTTGCTGACTGAGTAGGAATAGAGGACCAACAAAGAACTAAGAAATATATATACCGATTCGATGCAAACGGCCACGAAATCAACATCTACATTCAGCAGCAATACAATATGTTTTCGTTGCGAAGAAAAACCATATTTTATCTCGACCAAATGGAAAACTAAATGAACACTAACATTTATCACACCATGAATCGCGCATTCAACGTGTATCACCGGCATTATTATTACGACTGTAACGAATACTCAGCGATCTCGAAAGGAAGAAGAAATTACCGCTCAACATTGATTCACTCGAAAAACGTATGAAAACAACAGCTGAATTAAAATGGAAAACAAATTGCATAAGTGCGCTAAAAAATAAATAAATAAATAAAAAAAAAATGCAAAATACATTGCCGCCGTATTACACTCTGTTTACAATTTATTTCAACAAGAAAATGTAAAAACGAACGAAAGATCACAGTAATAAGACCATTTTATGGAAGTGATGCGGCATACGTATTTATTATAGTATAATTTATCTAAACGTGAAATTGCGCCCATATAACAGCTAAACAAACGAAAATAAGCACAGATATAATAAAGCCTTAATAAAAAAATATATATATCGCCACAATCCGCTGGAGGAATTCATAAAATTAGTGCGAAATCGCTTGAAATATGATTGGAATTAAGAATCATGAAGGAATTGTTAATTCTTAGCTGACCAAACTCTACTTCGATTTGACTTTTTAATTTTTTGTTTCGCCATCGAACACAGTTTTTCAGTCGTACTTTGATAATTCGATTTTTTTAAAATTTCAGTCTCATCAATTTTTATATAAATTATTCAATTCTTTTATTTCTCGTAGTGTGCAAAATCACAACTGAATCGTTAGCTACAATAATAATTATTGTATTTCTAAAAATATTAAATAAAATAAAAACGGATCTCAATGTTGCAATGCTTGTGTACCACTAAAAATCATATGAACGTGAAACATTGATTTAAAAAAAACTCACCACTAGATTTTGAATTCGCCGAATTTAGTAGATCTTTATCGTAATTCGTTTCTGATAACGCTCTGATTATATAATCAAGATGCAGGCAAAGATCTTGTGAATCAATGGTGTTCTTCTAACTGTATCACCTTGAACAAAAAGAATAGAGTGTTAAAGAGACTAGAAAAGAGTGTGAGTTGAAAACGAGCGTCTATTTCAATTTTTCAACGCTTCTTCTTTCTTTATCAAGGTCTCCCTCCTTTAAATAAGCACAAGAAAAAACATTTCATTGGTAGTTTGTGCATTCCCTTGAGTATAAATAATATTGAAAGAAGTACACCTGCACTTTCTTATCAACCTTTTTCGATGAAATTAATTTCAAGACTTGTTTTCGAAATTTTAGTTATACATCAAAATTATTGCATTTCCGTCAAAAACTATATATAATCGTTTAATAAAAATGTTGTTAGTATTTAACGACATTTTATTTAACATTTGAAATACTATTGCCACTACTGAATCATTTATTTCGTTATAGTTTGAATGCAGTTCGCCTATTATATTCAATCATTAAAGAAAGTAAAATAATATTAGGTTCAGAAGGTATGAAGACAACGATGAACTACCAGATGGTTAAGCCAACAATTTGCTCATGTATTGAACGAACATAATCAAAACTATTTAGTAGGAACGAACATAATAATTTGAATTTGAGCAACGAAATAAAAAAAACACACATTATATCCATTTCAGCAGCGTTTTGCATATAATATTATGGTGTGCAAATCATTTTGCGTCGGCTTTGCTGCTAAACATAGTGTACTTAGTTGATTTCATTGCTTTCATCGAATGGTATTGTACTTTTTCGATGTCAAATGCGGAGAGATGTATTTTCCTTAAACGATATAGCGCCAATATTTTAAAGTTCGGATACAGTCAACTAGCTTTCGAATCGTTGCATTTTAACTTAGTAGGAAGCTCTTTTTTCATACTTTTATACATCTACTTCTATCTCTCTTTTTTCCTCTCATTTTTTTTTCTTTCATTTATTTATTCGTGCATCTGTGATATTCGCCCTATAACAACCACTTCTACGTATAGTTATGGTCATGCATACATTTGTGTCAAAAGATAGATTTAATATGTTTCGTTTTTGTTTTTCTTGTATAAAGAGTAAGTCGCACAGTCAAACGCATAGGCTTTGGCTATACAGACGTCTTTTAACAACACATGTACCCATTAACATGGGCAGCATACTGAAAATGAAAATATTATTAGCATTCCATGTAGCTGATTATGGCAATATTAGTCTCAGACTATAGCAATATGCATATAAGCTCTCAAATGGGATGGAATGCGAAAAAATCAATGAATCTCCCGATTGAAATTTAAAAATGCACCACAAAAATGCACAAATTTAGAGGTAAATGTTGATGGCACATTTGCACAAAAAAACAAACGATCCCCACTGGGATTATAAATTGTTGTTCCTTAGTGAAAAAAAAGAGCTGCAACATAATGAAAAATGATTGTTCTCATTATTACATATATGCTACTCTTGTAGATCTCATTGAGGATCTGGATTTGCTTAAAAATTAGACGCATTTCATACCATAAAATACGTACAATGCACTCTACGTTTGCATGTGTTTTGTGCAGATAAAGTGTAGAAATTAAAAAAAAAACCGGCCCTAAATCACAAAATGCAAACGCGCAATGCCGTTACAGTGTGATTGTGTCTTTTAAACAGATTTTGTGTCGCCATCATCATCGATGCTATTGTTGCTGTGTTAATATTTTGATATATTTTATGTGATTGTAATTGAATGTTGTTCCTTCGTCTGCTCTGTTTTACTTAGCACTTCATATGCCAAGAGTAGTGTTCATTGTATGGTCTCGTCGGAAGAAGAAGAAAAAAAGATTAATTGCTTCTATCTTAGCGAAGGGATTCGCATCTTTGAAAAGTGGTTCAACGGTTAACTATCTGTGTTCTGTTTTGAAAATTTCTACAACCACGTAAACTGAATTCATCAACAAAAATATATACTATATATATATTATCGCGATTGTAATCAATTTGATGTTTTTTAAAATTGAATTGATGGCATTACACGATGTTCACGACCATTGAAAATACAAATATGGTTAATTCAGATTAAGCCAATGATATTAATCATATATGACAATTTCAATGCAAGCGAACAAACGTGCAAACATAAAACCAAAGCTGTCTTGTGTGTAACTAGATGTTGTACATATGCCAGTTAATAATTTTAGGTCCAAAACATTTATCCGCCACTGCAGTGCCATGGTAAACCAAATAGATAAAGAACCGAATGCAACATCAACAAGACACCGCATGCGCATGCCAACCAATACGAAACACCCAAATGAGAAAAACAAACGAAAATAAAGTTACTTCTAATTAAAACTGTTAAAAGCAATTAAACGATTTGGTGCTCGTTGTTGTTACTCAATCGGTGTGTTGATTGTCGTTGTTTTTCTCTGTCTTATGTGGCTGTTCACACTTGAGCCGTTGTTGTTGTTGTTGTTGTTGTTTCTGAGTGAATACATGATTGTATAAATGTTACTACCATTTGGGAATGCTCATAAATAAAGTAGTTATCAATTATGATGAAAACAACGCTGAAATGTCCAACTTATGAATGACATGAAGGGATACATTAAATGTTAAATTAAACCTTCACTCTTGCCAAATATCGAGAGAGAAACAAATTATGGGAACCCAACAAATGGAAATTACAAAGGGAAAAAAAAATTATAAGCCAAATTGTCTATGAGAAATAAACGACACAAAAATACAATCGAAATGAAAAAAAGCAAACAGATTTTTTTCGTTGTAAGTAATTATATGGGTTAAACATGGTGCGGTTATATTTGGCGGTGCAGATGAAAAGTATTTATTTTTTCTGTGTTACGCATCTAAAAGATCGCCAAAATCATGTTCACTATTTTGATTACGATTTTAAACAATCGCTCAATTTTGTACTTTTCCGAAATCATTGTAAAAGTAACATATATTTTGGTACAAGCTCACTTGCATAATTAAAGCAAATTGTTTTCAATTTTTATTGAAAGTACGTGGTGATGAACTATTTACTGATTTTATTTTATGAAAGTGTCTGTTTCGAATGTGTATGCGTATCTATTGTACCCTTGACCGCAGTACGGGTCCCTATTTAGGGCTGTGCGGAATATAAAAGAACCCGTAGGTGAGTACTTTATTGAATTGATAGTTTAGTTTTGCATTCAATCTAACTGAATTGTTTTTTTCTTTTTTTTCCTTTCCATTTTGACGGTAAAATTGACTGAAACTACACACGAATCCAACCCCAATATTGACCGTCAACATATGCCACAACAAATGTTTGTTGGGTTGTTTTCTAAATAGGATCGAGAACCAACGTTACAACGTCATATTCAATAGATATCGCTGCGAAAAAAAGACTTTGAAAACACTGACTTTATCTGACGATATCAAGTTTTTGCAACATACCACTTGACACTTAATCAAGTCAAGAAAAGTGTCCATGGAACTTGTAAAATACATTAAATTGATTAATAATTGAACGGCTTCAAAATTCCAAACTAATTGTTGCTTATTAAGTTTGTGTTGGTATCAGCAATACATGCATAATAATATCACATTTTTGTCATATTATGCAGCAAATGCATGCAACAAAATGTGTTATACGAGTAAATAACTTTCAATCCATTGACACTGAACGCAATAAAAAAAATGTATTGATTTGAACGCCCACACGAACACTGATTTATTGAAATCTATAGCAGTTCAAATCGCTTGAATATTAAACGATTTCATATCGTTAAAAAGTCAGAATCGGTTTTAAGAGAATACAAACGCTTTACAAACTAAATATACAAAGTATTTGTTTCAAAAGATGCACTGGACAGATTCATTTCGGACATTTTTCCATAGTGTGTGTGCCACTCAATTGAAATTAATATGCAAATAGTATAAATCATTTTTCATTCGGTCCATTCAATCAAAGCCTTATGATCAACTGAACAGACCTGTTTTATCCATATACTTGGTCGCAATCGGATCACGGATGGCGGAACGAACATGAATGTTGTAACATAAAAATGTAGATAAACTAAAAAAAAGAAAATACGAGCGAAATTGTGAAATGTCTGTTTGATTTTAGCATGTCAGTAGTTTGGTGATATCTGAATTTGTGCAATCCGACACAAAACATATCACCAATTCAGGGATAAATGGCAATCACATTTAAGCATACTACAAGCACGCTGCCCGACTTAAATTCGGTTTTTACGAAATCCATTTTTGTTAACTTATTTCGTAGACATGCATACGAACGGTGTTGTGTCAATTGGAATATTCAATTGTTATGCCATACTCCTTAGAGTTTAAATGTACTGTACATTCATAATTCATATGTTATAAGGAAAATTTTGTAATTTGTTGAATTTTATATACAATTGATTTCGTAGACAGATGGACAGTGTGTGTCTATAGTCTTATTATGATTTGAAGTGTGAAATTTGTCATTTCGTCATGTTGATAATTGTACCGTACCGTACAACGCATTAGAAAATGTGATGCATTTTCGTTGGCATTTTCGAATGAATTAGTAAAATGTGTGTAAATGGATTTTATAAAATCGAAGCGATTCAGCTTGTTGCTTGTTGAATCAGTGAATAAAAAGAAATGTTTCACCATTTGATTTGTTGACCAATGTAATTAACAGATGTGATTGTCTGTTTATGTGTATGTCTTTGTTGTTGTGTTGGCTTTGTTCCTGAAACGAGTTGTGAGATAAAATTCTTTTTAGCCCACGCCAACCGCACAACATTCAACACAAAGAAAATCACATTGTTTCCGACAAATGGATTGCAAGTTTCACTTTGTTCGAATATTACATTATCACATGTTTGCTTATTCGCTTATGCGGACACTTGGATGCTGTATCTGAACTTTTTAATTTATTGTCATTTCTTTCGATTTTCATTTTAACACAACGATATAACGTTTGTCTTTCACCTTGTATGTACTTGTCTAAGCTTGTGTTTTGCCCGATTTTTTCGTTTTGTATCAACTGAACAGAGAACATGCCATTTATATTCCAAACGAAAATGATGCATG